CCGCCGAGCGCGGGCGACGACCGCGGCCGGTGGCGGGCCGCGGTCGGCCGCGCCGTCCGCGAGTACGCGGAGCGGCAGGCCGCGGGCGTCGGCGACCTCGCGCTCTTTCGCGCCGTCCGTCCGAGCCGCGAGTGGCGGCGGACCTGGATCCTGGAGCAGCGCGCGGCGGGCAACTGGCGGGAGACCGCGCTCGTCGCCATCGAATCTCGACGGCGGGACGCACCGCCTCGCGCCGCAGACGCGGCTCGTCCGGTGGGCGGCCCGGGGCCGCGAGCGGCCGGGCTACTGCGACCTCTGCGGGCTCTACGTCCGCGGGACGGCCGCGGACATGGCCCACGTCTGCCTCGAGTGTCCGGCGTCGCGCATGGCACGGCTCGACCTGGATGCTCCCCGACGCGCGTGGTTCGCGAGCGTCAACGACGCCTACGGCCGCCAGGGCCGCGAGGCGGCGGCGCGCTGGTGGCGCGGCGCTCGGGCGCCGGCGCTCTCGTCGTGCTCCGACGTCGGCTTCGCCGCCTTCCTGGCCGCGTCGGGCGCCCCGCCGCTCCCGCGCAGCGGCCTCGCGGAGCTGCGCGACGATCTTGCTCGCGCCTTCGCGTCTACGTTCGGCGAGTTCTTCGTCGCCCGCGCCAGCGAGATTACGGCGCTTCCTCCGCGGCGCTCGACCTGATTTTGTTCATATTTCCCTCTTCCTCAGCGGCGTCTTCCTCTTCTACATCGACGCGGCCGCGGGCCGCGGTTCTTCAACCTCGACGCTTCTTTTTGCTCCCTTCCCGCCCGCTGGCCGGCGGGCGACCTCTTCGGCGTGCGCCCTCGGCCTCCATTCGTGGTCCTCGAGGTGAATCGGGCTGGTCCACCCGGAGTTCCTGCTCGTTTGCGTGCGAGTGCCCTCGTTCTCAACCTCCCCCGGCCCACGGAGAGTCCGTTGAGTGTCGTCTGATGAGGTGACTCAGGAGCTGCCGCCCCGCGCCTGCTCGGTCTGGTTCCCTCCGCGGGCGTGCCTCCCCCCCCCCGGACGGACGCAGTCGGGCGTGCATCCCCTCAATAACTTGGTCAACCTGAACAGCAACCAAGTAACTTGAACACCAGACCGCCGGGGCAGCATGCGAACGTAATCCCGGCGCAGCCATGGACCGCGTGCGCGTGCTGTGCCGCGTGCGGCCGGAGACGGCCGACGAGTCGCGGCGCGGCGTGGGCGTCGTGAAGATCGCCGGCGGCATGCGCGTCGACCTCGCGGGCGCGTCCGAGTTCATCGGCGAGCACGAGGGCCACTACACCTTCGACGCGGCCCTCGGCGTCGAGGCGTCCCAGGCCGCCGTCTACGACGCCGTGGCGAAGCCCATGGTCGCCGACGTGCTCCGGGGCTTCAACGCGACCCTCTTCGCCTACGGCCAGACGGGCGCGGGCAAGACGCACTCCATGTTCGGCCCGCGCGACGCGGGCGACGGGTCCGCGGCCGTCGGCGTCGTGCCGCGGCTGCTCGTCGACATCTTCCGGAGCCTGAGCGAGGGCGACGCCGTGTCCCTGAGCTGCCTCGAGCTCTACGACGACCTGCGGGACCTCCTGGCGCCCGGCGGCGCGCCGGCGCGGCCGCTCAAGATCGTCGAAACGAAGGACGGCACCATCGACGTCGACGGCTGCGTCGAGGCGCCCGTCGCCGACGCGGCGGCGGCCCTGGACCTCGTCCGCGGCGCCCTCGCGAGCCGCAAGACGGCCTGCCACGACATGAACGCGGACAGCTCGCGGAGCCACTTCGTGACGTCGCTCCCGGAGCGGGAAAAGAGTGCTTCAAGTTCGCTTCAACGTGAGTGCCGCGCGCGCGCGTTCCGGAAAAAGCATCCACGCGTCGAGAGCGCTCCGAGAGATGATCGCTCGTCCAAAAAGTAGCCGAAACGACCGAGATATGAGCCTCCAAAGTTGGGAATGTCGCACTCTTTTCCTGCCCAGGTCGCTCCGCGTCACGCGGCCGTCGACGGACGCGTCGTCCGTCGTGCGCCTCGTCGACCTCGCCGGCTCCGAGCGCGTCGCCAAGACCCAGGCCACGGGCGCGACGCTGGACGAGGCGAAGCGCATCAACAGCTCGCTGTCCGCGCTCGGCAACGTCATCTCCGCGCTCACGTCGCAAAACGCGAGCCACGTGCCCTACCGCGACAGCAAGCTCACGCGCCTGCTCCAGTCGAGCCTCGGGGGCAACGCGAAGACGGCGCTCCTCGTCTGCGTCTCGTCGTCGAGCCTCCAGTGCGAGGAGACCGTGTCGAGCCTCCGCTTCGGCATCCGCGCGAAGCGCGTCAAGAACGCGGGGACGATCAACGCGCCGAGCGACAGCGTCTCCGCGGCGCGGAAGATTTTGGAGGCCGCCCGGGCCGAGCGCGCCGAGGCGCTGGCCGCGCGCGAGGCCGCGGACCGCGTCGCGCACGCCGCGAAGCTCGAGGCCGCCAAGGCCGAGGACGCGGCCGCCGCGCTCCGCTTCGAGCTCGGCCGCGCGACGGAGCGGCTCCTGGCCTA